TGGAGCGCCTCGCTCGGCTCCGCCGCGCCGCAGCCTCGATACACACACCCGGTCCGTCACCTCCACTGCGGAGCTGCCGGTGCAGCGGTTGAGTCACAGAACCGCGGACTGGTTTGGGTTGAAGGGACCTTAAAGCTCCTCCAGTTCCAACCCCTGCCACGGGCGGGGACACCTTCCACTAGAGCAGGTTGCTCCAAGCCCCTGTGTCCAACCTGGCCTTGAACACTGCCAGGGATGGGTCCTTGACTTCGGTGCTGCACAGGGGACGCGCTGCGAGCCTTCCACACAGCCATCCGGAGCAGCCCCGCCAACATGAAGAGCCAGGCCATGAAGGTACTGGGCAGGGCAGGGCTGTGGGTTCGGTGCTGGAGCACTGGGGAGTGCTGTGGGGCCGTGGTGTTACCCCAGAGATCCGATTAGCACCCTTATACTGCTAATGAGAGACACAGGGATGCGCTGTGCAGGCGATCCCTGTGCGTTCACCCCTTCCTTCTGCTCACTCCTGAATCCTCAGGTGAAATATGTCACCTACACAGCCTGCAGTGTAGCTTCCAGCCCTCTGAGCATCCATTCTCAAACACAAGTCCAGGGATAGTTTCCAGCTTTGCTAGTTCTTATGTTGTTCTCGTTTCCTTGTCTTCACAGGAGCAGGCCCAGGGAACTATGCTTAAAGTCCTCACGTCTTTTAAAAGCAGCGAAATAGAACAAGCGGTGAATTCCTTAGACAGAAACGGCATTGACTTGTTAATGAAATACATTTATAAAGGATTTGAAAAGCCAACAGAAAATAGCAGTGCAATATTACTTCAGTGGCACGAAAAGGTACGTGTCTGGTGTGCTCCTGGCTCAGCCATGTCCTTGTTGCTTCCGAAAGAGCGGTGGTGAGAGCAGCAGATGATGGCAGGGGCTCATCCCCGAGGAGCACAGCAACTGCTGTTTCCCTTTGGCCTCTTTGAGTTTGGACTTGTTAAGCTTTGCCTGTATTTCAAGTCTTTAACCGCAGCCAAGGGGAGAGGCGAGACTTAGGGCAGGACAGAGTCGCGTGGAGGAAGCGTTGTGCCTTCTGTGTCAGCTCCACCGAGGGGGCAGACCCAGAGCAGAGGAGGTGTTTGTTGAGGGTGCAGGGGCAGCGTTGCTTTGTAGCCGGGTGCTTGGCCACGGGGGTGCTCAGGCCTGGCGGTTTTCATCAGCTGAAGGCTGCTAGCAGCACATGTCACAGCTCAGAACAGGATTTAGTAACAGGAGAGGCTTTGGAGATCCAGGCAGATTCTGCTGGGATCTGGAGCCATCCTCTCGTGTTTCTGTGTAATGCCTGTTGCGAGAGGGGAGGGTGGGATGTGTTCACCAGCTGAGTGTTGGACACCCCCGGGCAGGATTCCAAGTGAAATCTTCCCCAGCTTGCAGTGGTTTCAGCTGCAGCACCAGCTGCCAGTGCTCCTCCTTGGAAAACTGATCCCTAGGAACGCTGCAGCTCCCTGTAATATAGAGGTGCTGCTAATGCTGGTGCTGTTTTCACATGATACGGGTGTTTTCCTGTGGTGTGTAAAGACAGAACTTGTTCAAGCGGAGTTCAGCTGCTGGCAGCTGTCACTGACTTTACAGGACCTTGACAGGGCAGGAGGGAAGTCCAGAGACGCCAGGGAACAGGTTTCTGCTTGGGTTTTGTCACTTTTTTCCTGCTGTTTCCTCTGGAGACTGTTTTTAGGTAACCACTGGTGGGTGCTGCCAGTGTGCAATGTTACACAACACCACCCTGACTGGAAATGTGACAGTGCTCAGAGCACGTAGGCACACGTACAGCACCCCGTCCTCTTTGTTCTGAAGGGAACAAGGCAGGTCTAAAGTGGGCTGGGCAGGGATTACACCCTGGCTGGTGTTCTGCTGCTTGGCACTGCCGGTAAGACGTGTGGCTTGCTCAGAGAGGCGTCAGCTGCTCTGCAGTTGCACCAGTCTGTCCTCGGGAAAAGGGCTGTTGTCCCCATGCGTATCAGGTCCGGGAACTTGGGAATGTTCACTTGCTGCAGCACGGGCAGGTTCTGCTCCAGATGGATGCTTTGTGTTCCTGTTCCCTAGCACAGCGGGGTGCCTCGGACTGTTGGTTGCCGTTCTCATTTTAGACACTGTAAAACCCACTGGCTGTGTTTGAATTATGTCTGCAGAGTAAATGCCTCATTTTAGGCAGTCAGCTTTAACATTTAGGTTTTTATAATCATATCCATCTGCAGATGAAATGGAAGGGGCCTTTCCTCCTTTCCTGCTCAGGGATACGGGAGGTGAGACATTCTGCATTGTCAGTAGCATGTGACATTGGTATCCTCCTCTACATCCAACAGGGGGGTGGATTTTGGAGTGTCGTTTCCCTTCAGATTTAGTGGGTTTGGGTTACTGAATTACTGCGTTTGGTTTTGTCTGCCCTTCAGTACCTTGGTTCTTACATCACAGAGTACATTTATAGACTATTACTATGTATGTACTGCAGTCATTTGGGTCAGAGATCACTGTCATCTGTATTTACTGCTGGAGCAGTCATACCGAGAGCAGCACTGCTGCTGAGCCTTGTGGGCTCACTGCAGGGCAATGTGGTTGGTTTCATCCTGACACTGCACAGTGGTTTAGTACCTAAATGACTTAAAATGTCTGTTAATTAACTGTTAAAGATTTGAGAGCAAAAGAAGGGGTGAAAAGTTAAGTCTTTAGAGAAGAGCCATAAGCTCTTCTGTTATTAAACACTTAATTGTTTGTTCTTTTAAGATGGCCTCTGCATGCACCACAGTGACTCTGTGTAACCTGTCTCCTTTTCCCGTCCCCACAGGCATTAGCAGTAGGTGGACTAGGGTCCATAGTAAGAGTTCTTACAGCAAGAAAGACTGTTTAAAAGACTATTAACTTGAACCAAGACGACGATCAGTTCTGGACTTGGAAGAAGGAATGAGCTGAAGTTACACTGGTCCATCTTTATTAGAGATTGCAATCTACTGAAATACTATGGAAACCTCTTGGAATGCTCTTAACCTTAAAGGTGGGGGCAGAGTAAAGGTATTCCTGCATATTCCGACTATCAATCACATACAGGAGCCAAGACATTCTCCTGATCCCTCTTTAGGCAGAGAGAGGGCACACTCTTGCCTCCTATTACTGTAATAGAACAGGTATTTTCAGATGCTGCTTTATCCAAGCGTGGAGAGACAGAATCCTGCGTGTGCTGCTGATTCACGAGGTAGCTGTGGCCTGGGCAGATGCAAGACCCTGACAGCTTGTGGGCGGGAGAGGTGGTTGTTGCAATGGTGGTTGTGTGCTCGGCGGACTAGTTGGACTGTGGGGTTGGTTTCAGTGTAAAGTGCCTGCTGCATCAATAAAGTTCTTGGATCACACGAGTTAAGTGATTTATTTTTTGCTAAATCTTAAGTCTGACACTTACTCAAAAGCAGGCCAGCACTGCATCAGTGCTAACCTGAGTGTCCACCCTTGCATGAATGCTCCTCATGGAATTGGTCCTCAAATCCAACTATGCTGGCTGCAAGGAGTGAGACCAAGCTCAGCTGTTCCCATCAAGGCTTCTAAGGGGCAGTGAATATAACATATAATCACCCCTGGTTTGACTTTCATATTCTTGACTATTTAGGATGAATAAAATACTTCAGAACTTACTATTTCTGTATTAGTGCATCCTCACCTTCTGAAAGACTGAAGTGTAGCAAAATGAGCTGCGTCCTTTGAGTCAGTGAGCACAGATGTTTTAACCTTGATTTGTAAAGACATAAGGACACAGCTACGCAAACCATCGCTGTCTCCAGCATCAGTTATAGCAAGAGCACTGGGGTTTATCTGTCTTTTGGCACAAAGGAGCCCACTCCACGTGAAGCAGCTGCTCCAGGCCCTACTTTACTCAGACTTTGCTTTTATCAGCCGCTAAAAGTGCAGCAGCAGCTGTGAAAGATGATTTCAGGAGGCAGAAGCTCTCTGCCTCATTCCTGGCGTATCTCCCCATGAGAAACAGGCCTTAATGCCATGTGGCACACCCGTGCTTACCCTGGGCAGAAGGTGGGGTTTGTTTCATGCTTTAAAATGCTCTCAATTTTAAACAGCTTAAAGCAGCCCAGTGGAGATAAGCAGAACTACAAAGAGAAAGAAATCGGGATTAGGGTTTTGCTCCAAAATGTATTGCACCACAAATTTCATAGTGTTCCATAATACAATCCATATGTACAGCATAGAAGGAAAGAAATCCAATGGCCATAGAAAGGATTATGTATACCACTGTTCTTATACAAGGAAAGTGCATTAGCTTTTTAATATATGTATACACACCATTCTTGCTCTGATCTCTAAAGAAAATTCAACTCTTAAGAACTCGTTTATGTTAAGTTGATCCTGTGTGAGCTTTGGGATCTCACCTGAAGTTGTGTTAGTGAGTATGTAATCTAAGATCTTATTTTGTCACTCCATTCCAGGCTGCCTGCACTGCTTTTCTTACTGTTCAGCAGTAACCTTTCAAGCCAGGATCAACATAAACCGATTAGTTGCTCAGCAGGCATCAGCATGAGTAGAGGGAATCCTGTCCCCTGGTCTCAGGTCCCACAGAAATAGGGCAGAGCAAAGGGACATTCTGAAGAAAAAGACCTTAGAGAAGAAAACTCTTCCCGGAACTGACAGGGTTATCCCACCCCCACTTTGTTTCAGTAGAGAAACAACTGGTATAATCTACTTTTTGATTGTCTGTTTTCATATTGGAGCAGAGTTGTACTCTGCCCAGAAACTTCTCTATGCTATCACTAAGTGCCATGAATCACGTTATTAGAAGACTCTGTTTGGACAAGCTTTAGTGTACTGAGAAAATCCTGTTGGTTTTCTTAACTTCAAATAAATATAACCTAGCTCTAAGCTGAGGAGCATCACTTGAGCCAAGGTAACAGCTACTGTGGGTACCTGTGCCTGGGATAAGGCTGATGAACAAAAACTCGGTACAGGTCTGCAGCACAGTGACCACTCTGATAACTGACCTCATGTGGAAGGAAACTTTCATCTTGACCACAACAGGAGTGTGCATGGAAGCAGGGAGCAGCTCACATGCTGTAACTCTAACACTGCATCTCATCTGCCACCACCAAGGTCATCCAGACCCCACTAGCAAAGCAAAGTTAAAAACCTGAACAGTGACTGTATCTCCACTAGAGGACAGGCTGAGTTTCTTGAATATATTTAATTAAAGTATTGTTAGTAACACAAACCTCATTGTAAGAGAATTACCATAATTGGACCCTGCTCAACAAATGCCATGTATATGTCCTTTTTTGAAAGTATGTCCCACTTTTAAGAAGTCAGACTTACTGCTGCTGCCCATTTTTCATCTAATTTTACAGTAAAATGATGAGCAAAATTGTGCTTCCCCTCCAGGAGGGATCACCTTGGTCCCCTTTTCTTAAGGGGGAAGGAAAGCAAGCTGCTGAAACCAAGATATATTCATTAAGAGCTGAATTGTACCCTCAAAACCAAAAACCTCATGAGCAGCGTTTCTTTTACCACGTAGTTAGGACACAGTTAACAGCCCACTACATGTTCATAGCAGTTTTTAAGCATCAGTATTTGAAGTACAGAAAACCACAACCAAAGAGGCGGATACTGGTTATGAAGATTTGTTGCTAGCAGACTTGGAGGAGAAAAATCATAAAAATCAAAGTGTTTAGTACCAATATTCTTCACCCTTTGTCACTAGATTCTTTTTTAAATAAAAGGTATTTTCAGTGTGCATTTACAATACCTGGAATTCAGCTTTAAAAATTTAAAATGGTTTACTACCCCTTCTTCCCTATGCTAACAACCTATGGTACAGGCTTATAGATTAGTTTTAAAGGCGACTGAGTATTAGGTACTATAATTAAGACCATTTTAAATATTATTTTTCTTTAAGAAAAGTAAAATCAGACAACTCTAAAGTTGTGCTCTCAAATTAAATAATCATCATCAACATGCAGCCTTCAGGACTGCAGGCCAGGATATATGCACCTTAAATTACACAGTGATATGAAAAAATGCGAACTATTAGTTATGTCAGTATAACAAGGCAAGGCAGATTTCTTTTTTGGTTAAAGCTCCTGCTCCTGTTCTTTGAAAGGCTTTTCAAACTGTCCACAACTCGATCAGTACTGCCAACATTGTTTTTCCACTGCTTGCTTTCCACAGCGAGACAAGAAGCTTTACTGTGCCTAGAGTTACTCAGCTCGAGTACTCTGTAACAGAAGCTGGAATCACCATCATAACAGATGCATATGTGTTAGAAGCTTGAACTGCCAGCACCGCTGTAAGTGAGGTTAACATTACCCTTTGGTGCCAAGAAAACGAGACTGATGAACACAAGGAGCTGACTTCTGTTAAGACGCCATCAAGACAACGGTCCCCAAATCCAACCCAGAAGAGGTGTTCCAGTTTGTAGTGAGAATTTCTCCTTGCACAGTATTAGTTTTGTAAACAGTGTCAAAAGTTCTTGTACAAAATACTGCAATGACAGTGATTAAGACACACCTGAATTAGTGTGTTCAGCGTTCTTTTCACAGAAAAAAGTGGCTAGATGCTGACTGCCCATTTTCAGGTTCTCTTAAGGCCACAGTGTCCTTGGGCTCGAGATAGATGGCCGGATACTGCCTTTAGGAGATGGCTTTGACCCAAACCAAGACATCTAGGACAGGAAGCACAGTAACATTATGTTAGGTTCACACATTTAAGAAGTTGAAGATTTGAAAAAGAAGTAATATGGCACATAGGCACCTCCCCATTGTCTGATGGGAAGAACTATTTACAAACAGAATGCTGCAGCACTCATTTATGAGCAGTCACTAACAACCACATAGCCAGGGACATCTCATGAGGAGGTATCATTTCATAAAATGAGGAGATCTCATTCCATGCAAGGGAAAGGAGAAACAGATCCAGGTGTCTAAGCTCAGCATCAAAACAACAAACCAGGAATTCAGCTTCCTGCTTTTAAACACTTGACTGCACTCCAGCAAGAAGCTTATAGCTTCCCTCCATGGACCGAGTCTGCCAGGCAAAACTGTGCAGTCGCTCCTCTGAAGCACCAGAAAGTTGCTATTTCCCTCCCTGAAAAGGACAATTTCCAACATGTATGTATGTGATTAGCTAACATTTTAATAATAAATTACAGCTTTTGGAAAAGACACTTCTCATGGTCTCCCAGCATCCGAGAATTTTCATTCCATGTGCTGGGAGTCCCATTAGAGACTGAGAGGAACAGACTCCTTACCTTGTACTCCAAAGTTTCTTTAAGCATGTTTTCTTCTTCTTGTGAAAAATTCAGTAACACAGATACAGCTTTAATTAGGTGGAATGCCTGAAAGATACCACAATATGTTGTTGCTTACGGTGCTCTCAGGCTCTATAATCTGGACTATGGTGCAGCCCAGTTTGTCTGTACGTTTGGTCACAGAGTTTTTAGTCACAACTGGGAAGAGCAGACCAGCAGCTTTCCATTATCCCCAGTTCCCACAGATTGGGATGGCTTGTGTGTTATTTTTTCCTGTTTGTGTTTCCTGGCTTTCTGATCTTTAACAGTGGTTTGCATGTTTTGGGGAAAGATGGCAAGTGGAGAGTCTAGTTCGTTGCAATAGAGAAGCAGTTTGGCTCCTGTGGCATCCTGACCTTTAACTTCCAGACAGAACTATCCCTTAGAAATTCACATTTCCCTTTCATTTAGTTCATAATAATCTGCATGTCCAAACATGTTACTGTTAGCTATTTTGCTTCATTGTCCTGAAGCAACTTTTAAAGTGTAAAAGCATGGAACTGGCATGGAAGTGTCCTTAGCAGGTAACAGAGGGCAGTTTCAAGAGACAGACAGACTTAGAAAGAGAAGGTAAGTTT